GTGAAATTTATGTTAAAATCCGAAATGTTTCATCTAATTTTGAAAAATTGTTAACAAGACAAACTAAAACTAAAAATGTTTTTCAAGATGACGACTAGACTAGAAGCTAGACGCGCACCAATTTCCAAACATTGAATTTGTTAAGGTAGTGGGAAACCATTTTAAAATTAAATAAATAAACATTTCATAACTGATATGTGGTTTTTTTCTCAAATTATTTTATCTTTAATTTACTGAAGTACTGAAGTCCACTATAAATAGATATTTAGTAAGTAGTCGTTATCTTAATTATCGGAGCTAATCGGAGGGAAACTACCTGCGGGAGGGAATTCGGCATCACCGGGTATTCTCTCTTCTTTTACTACAAAGCAAACGTTATCTTAAAGTTTTCTTTATATGCTTTAACAGTACACAACTGCACAGTATCCCTTATTCTCGTGTGTAAGTAATATTAACTTTTCTATTCTCATAAAAACAAATTTTTTACATCAAGGAAAGAAACTCAGAATATGCTAGCAATAGGAACACCCAGTGCTACGTCACTTGTTAATATATTTATATTCCTAGGTACTTTACGTTTGAGAAAAAAGTAATTTTTCAAAGCGATTTTATTTAATTCAGTTTTCGTCTCTAAGGATACCCGAAATTCTGCTTAAACATATCTTTAAGGATACTTTGGAATCGTTTGATGGTTTAAATGAAACGACCTTGTTGACGTCAAATTTACATAAGCTGTTTAGATGTTTGTAGCTCTGATCGGTTTCGACTTGAGAGCATTTTTCATCTGATATTTTTTGAATTGAAATGTATTATCAGTTTTCAGCGATTTGTACATAAAAAAAAGAATTGCGAGTCTGCTACTACTCGAGACATTGATGTGTAAACAAACATACGTAGAATTTTTGATGGTAAACGGAAGGGCGGTAAAATTCGAGGTGTTTACGTGTCATAAATTTTTACATTGTATATTGATTTGTTAGAAGTCATTTCGTTGATTAAGTAGCAATTTGTCGTCATCTTTACTTCTAACTGTATTTTAGTAGTTCATGGTAGAATAAGTTATTGATAAGCATTCTATCGAAACTGTTCCGGACTTCCTTAGTTCCAATCAATGATCAATACCCCAAACTTGAGGAATAGATCTGCAGGAATGTCCGTGGAGTAAGTGTTCTTTATTCCTAAGTCTGGATAACACATGATTGAAATATAGAGACAAACTAATTTTTTTTTTTTTCGATATTTTTTACTTCCTTGTGTTTACTATTTTATTCGGTAAAAGGTTAATCTATGCGTTGGAAGAAAGGCGAATTTATGCATTGCAGAAATGGTAAGATTTCGAATTTTCGTAACTCTCACAACTATCGACACTACTTCCTTTGATAGTCATAACAAGCTGGCAAATTTCAACATTTCAGATAGTTATTTTGTCAATAAATAGAACAATTTGTACTTGGAAGAATTATTATTAAGCGCCAACCATGAGATATTAATTTGAAATAATTTTTTCAATTTCTAATTTACCCACTACAAACTACCTCAAATTAATGAGGAAGAAATTGTTGCTGTTGTCACACCTCCGCCGGGAATCGAACCCGGGACAGCAACCACGACCAACCGACCTACAGTTAATAATAATAAAAATCGACGGATCGTTAACCTTGTAGGTCGGTTGGTCGTGGTTGCTGTCCCGGGTTCGATTCCCGGCGGAGGTGTGACAACAGCAACAACAATTTGAGATAGTTTGTAGTGGGTAAATTAAAAATTGAAAAAATGATTTCAAATTAATATTGCATATTAATCCACTATTAAGTAACTAATAATATCATAGAACCAACCATGAGAATAACTACAAAGAACGCAGTTAACGCCATCTAAAGAGTCTGTCACTAGTTGTAGGCTTATTCATGTCTTATCGTGCAGTTAGTTTCAAAAGTTGGCATTCTTAATTAAAAAAAACCTGACGAACATTGATAAACTCGTAATTAGTAGCCACATATGAAGCTTGCTTCAGTTATCCATTCCTTAACGTTCGATAAGGCCCTTTTACAAAGAACATCTATAAGTTTTTTAAGTGAGAATTGTTTAGTTAAGTGGTAAGAGCGTTGATTAAAACCTTAGAAGAGTTCTATAGGAAAGTGCGAAATCCACAACACACAATATCTAATTACAAAAGGATTCCATTACCGTTTACTGTCATAACGTATCTAAATATAAACAGGAAGATAAATACATTAACCCGTGTATTTGAGATGTAATCAATCCCCTTCCAATCACGGAGTCCTAATCCTTCAGTCCAGTGTTCCACAGTTTTAGTAAAGGGAAAACTCCAAACTAATTTTCCACTTAGCTTGACAAGCTGCTTATCCGATTTTTTTGCGCTCGAAAATGCGGGTAATATCAACAGTCGTTTGATGAAATTTCCATCTTAAATAATGGTTGGAACAAGTCGACGTGACATTTTCGGTACAATAATAAATTATAAGCATTTTCATCATGATATCGGTTAGATAATAATGTAATTCTCAATAGATACACATTCTTCTTGTCGTTTAGAGCAATTTTCTAGGTACTGTGGAGGATCTAGGTCCATGGTGACTCTAGCCTATATGAAATAATCATAACGATAACAAATACCGGGCGACATGTAAACGGGCAACGCCAAATGGCACGCATGCAAGTTCCGCATACATTTTCATATCCGCTTCTGCATATAGTTCCGCATTTTTGTAACGGAAAGTTATCGGAACTTAACCAAATCTCATTTCTCATCTTTTTGAAAATCAATATATCGGAACAATAAAACAAGTCGTAAAAATTTATTGCTTTTATCTGTTGACTGAACTTGGCCGTTTTCAAAACACAATTCAAATGGAATTGCAAAGCCGCCTGTTGTTCAGGTATCTGCGCCAGCTTTCAGTGAACCCTCTGTAACATTGTGAACGTATTATAAAGCGTTTAAGTTTATGAAGTTTTATCGTCAAGGCAGCGTTTTAGTAGACGGCAAAATTTTGTTAATAATAATATTACCCCTGTACAAATAACTGTTGTAGTTTAGGGTTTAAATTTATTTCCTAGTATTTCGTATGTTGATATTTTCCAAATTTTATTCTCTTATTAGTCTCCTATTTTAATCTAAGAACGTCCAGAATTTTCACTTCCCCCATAGCCAGTTTTAATATATTCTATAGTGTTTGCTCCGTGATGGAAATTCTAAGTTGAAAGTGCAATTTTGAATCCAAAAACTTCCATTTGGCATTATTTTATTGATATTAACCATGCAAATGCTAAATGCAAAATTTGTAACGGAGTATTCCCAAAAAGAACACACGAGTTCTGTATTAAAGAGTAAAGAATCACTTAAAATCATTACAGTTTCGCTTCCGCATCCACTTCCGCAACCGATTCCGCATCCGCTTTCGTTTACGTTTCCGCTTCCGTAAAAATTTACATCGCTAGTGTGTACAAGCTGCTCGCCTTCACTATCCTTCTGCTACTACTTCCGTTCAAAATTGTGCATACTTTTATTTACTTGTGTTACAAATAATTCTAGTTATAATTATATGTAATCTCATCCACCTCTTTGTATATATTTTTTTGTTACACCCTTGATAGATAAAGCATTCCATTGAAAACTTTCAAGTTAGATCGATTATTAAAACTTCTTGACTGTAACTCACAACAAATTGTCAATTCGTTTTCCCATTATTTCAGATCGATCGATACAATTACTGTCAATGCCACATGCGCTCCCTTTATTCGTACAGACATTTGATAAATTCCCACTTGTACTGCTCACGTACATTGAGCATATCCGTAAAGATATGGTAGGTACCTATGTACCTAATTGTAAGTCTTAGATGTGAAGTTAGCTTTACTTTATTACGCCAAATGGCACGAAAGTTACAGCTGACGTAGAATCGATTAATTCGCTAGCAGTTTGCACCGAGTGTCCTTTGACAATTGGCACATCAATGGTCCAATAAACGTCAAATACTTGAAGGCGCAGCTGTTTATTGAATTAACACCACAAGGAAAACTCGATCTCGCTTCTAAAACAAGTTTTCCTGAACGAACACACAGGAAGTAAAAGAACAATACAACTACATGTTTTGGGTATTTTCTAATTACCATTCGATTCTTGATAAAATCTCAATAAAAAATTTTACGTTATTTGGTTTTGGATCCAGCTGATAAGTAATTAACAGTGAAATAATAAGAAACAACCAACCTAAACTAATTAATACCGGACAGATACAAGGTGCCACCCATTGCGTTTATCTTTTGTTAATGGTGCTCTGTTAAAAGATGTTAAAATTGAATAGGGAACATTAAATCCTTGATCAGAAGTTCATTAAAAATAGGAGATGTAGATCGCAATTTATAATCATTTGTAGTTTCGTTAAATTAAGAACAAATTGCTTCATGTAAACACCTTCTGACAACGCTTGCTCCTCCCTTTTATATCACAAGTATTAAAGGAATTTTTGAGGTTATGTTCGTTTTGGAGCATTAAGAGTAAAATTTTCGCTGCATGCAACGAAGATGCGCGCGCAACGAGCAACGGAAATTGCGCGCGCTTAGAAAACGGAAACTCAACAGTATGAAGTTAGCAGTTGACCGCGAGATAAAAAACGATTGATCTGGTCTCAGCTTTTTGTTGACTCGCACCCAGGAAGGTGGTGAAGTATTTCGTTCAACACAAGCGGTCAATAAATGAGTAATCCAATTGATTTTAGGTAACGCCTACGTTACAGAGAGTATTCCGTTATAAAAGATTCTGTTATAAAATAAATGATTAATAGGTGCCTACTAGATAAGCGTCTTACAGTAGGTAACAGGTGAATATACCTTTTCCACCCTGATGTAGCTTCAAAACAGTAGATAAGGTGAATGCAGAATTATTAGGGTGAATTAAACGGTTCGTTGCATGTACCTAATCTGTCAAGGAGAAAAGGAACAGAACACGTTTTGTATACAAAGTTCCGTTGTTTCAGCAAATGGCATAGGAATGGAGGAAGTTCTGGAAATAGAGGCACTTAACTGGGAAAACCTGAGTTTTTCCACCATCGATCCTGAAAGGACTTATACACCCTATTACCAGCGCCCCGAGACATACATAGTTCCCATTCTCTTCTTCATTATTTTCGTCGTGGGAGTCCTGGGGAACGGCACCTTGGTCATAATTTTCCTCCGACATAGGGCAATGAGGAATGTACCTAACACGTGAGTAGCAATATTTCTTCAACTGTCTTTCTAGTACCTACTCACAACCTTTCTCACCGACAAATAAAGAAAAGATACGAATGAAGTTAACAAAGAGAAATGCTTATCAGTTTACACGATGAGGTCACGAATGTTATTTTGGCTGCACAATCTAAATTAAGAAGCGCCTACTGAATTACAATAGGTTGCGAAATACGTATCTACTTACACGATACAAACGCTTCTTCGTTTATTTTGTTTCTTTTATTATTACAACCAAAAACAGTTAGTAGGTAAACGTGGAGACATTTGTTAAGAGAGAATAAATTAATGAAGTCTAGCAATAGGAGATTTAAATCACTCATATGTNATATAGGACTTGGGAGTAAAATCAACTTTAAATAAATTTTAATACTTAATTTAAGAAAATTACTTCTTTTCATCACGTATTATCCCTTTCAGTTAAGTGACAGGTGAATTTGAAAGTACGCAACTGAGAAAACTATTAAATACCTATAAAACAGGCAAGAAATACCCATTGCAACTTTGTGACGAACCACAGCAACAATTTGTTTGCATAAAAAATAATTTCAAGAGATAATTCCAAATAATCCGGTGTAAGATAACGAACAGTTTTATCAAATCCAAGATTATCTGGACATTTGATTTTCCTTCCTTGCTGCTAGCCTTTTATCACCCTTCCTGACAGATATAATCCTTAATTAGCTTTACTGTCGCCTTTGTTCCCTGCAAAGCAATAAGTTATCTATTTACTTCTCTAAATCCTTGTTTACAAGAATGTTTCATTTTCAATGCCAGAAAGTGAGACTATTCCATACTGTACGAGTACCACGGTAATTACCGTCACCATCGCTATGGATTCCAAGGAACCCGTGTTTAGTACGAAAAACTTTTTAGCTATTCTCCTAAGAAAAATATTATCTTGAAATTTGTATCGCTAGGGTCCCAGTAGTCCTCACATGCATTCATACAATCGAGCCATCGACAGATAGTTTATTCGTTGGTTTTTCTTCTTGCTGAAATTAGCTCAGAAAGTTCCTGGAAGGAGTAGTTGGTATATAAAGTAGAGGATAGCGTAGCCTTCAATAAAAAGAAGTCACTTCTATGCTTGCAAACGCTTAATTTAGAAATTGTAAAAAGATTGGTTGAAGGTGTATGTTCGGAGTGCGGTGCTGTACGGGTGCGAAACATTGACGGTGGGCGCGGCTGAAAAAAAAGTTTACAAGCGTTCGAAATGTGGTGTTACAGTCAAATAATGAAAATACCGTGGATAGAGAAGGTTAAAAATTAAGAGGTATTAGAAAGAAAAGAAGAACAGGGGATTCTATGGAAGTCAATAAGGAATAGGCGAGATAGGTTGGTAGGACACCTTCTCAGGCATGAAGGTCTACTCAGAGACAAAATTGAGGCAGAGTTAAAAGGAGCAGAGATAGACTTAGATTAGATTACTGTTGGAAAATAGCTAGGGATGTGGGTTGTTCTAGTTTTGGGAAAATGCGAAGATTAGCTCAGGATAGGAAAGAGTGGAGGTGCGTGTCCAACTAGTCTTAGGACTGACGAACTTATGATGATGATATGCGAAGTTCAAATAGGTTATGGACTTGCATAAAATTAACTGACATGTACGTAAGTTTTTTTACAATATCATCAATTAAAAACGATGTACGATGGAAATTATGTCAAAATCTTTAGCATTAAGTACTTTAAAAATTTCAGGTTTTGAGGTTCCACATTCATAACGATGAGCAGTTTAAAATGATACACCCGGCAACTTTACCAAATGTTTTATTCAGTTACACACTGAAGTGAATTTATCTCCCTTCCGTGGCGGAACACGGAGCAAAATTTTTTGACGATTTCGTTGTAATTTTTTCAGATACATACGGAGAGGAGTTCACGCCCGTTAAATGCGAAGTTTGCCGTGTGAGCAGCTGTCAAAAAGAAAAATGCGAGATAAACGCAATCTGAGGATAACAAGCTGTCATTCTCCCAAAACCTTTTTTACATGACTTCAATAGGGTCGAAAGGCGTTAAAATGTTTCGTATAGTACATAGATGCGATAATACATGCTTATCGATTGACTCTGAAAAGTGTAAAGTAATGTGGAACTGTTACAGCTATTGCTTTCGTGACACACTACTAAGTTCTGTAATGTCCATGTCAGCAACTGATTCGACAAAAAACTTTAGTAGAAAAACGGATATTATAAATTCTGAAAACTCCTTACTACAGGAAATTATTTACAGTTTATATAACTACTACCCGGCTTCACTAAGGAAGTTAATATGAGATTGCGTAATAGTTGGGAAAAAAAGGATAAACTGTACAGTATAAGAGGTACTGTTCGTTTCAAGAAGTTAGAGATATGACCCTTCCCTTTATTAGGATGCACCGTAGCATAATTCCAAATTCAATCATATGTGTCTGCGGAGCTCATTTCTTCACCGATCATCCATCGAGAGCTAGACAAAAATGTACAGTACCATTTACAAAATTTTTTAAACTGCCTCGTTAAAATTTAAGAATACTTAAAAGCATATTTAGCCAAAAATAATGACAAGTGAATTAACTTAACGTTCTACACACCTATAAAACATTTGCTTTGTTTTCTATTGTTAATTTATATACATTTTTGTTTTAAGAAATTGCTAAACATTTTCGTTAAGTACTGTACAGTTCTAGGCGATCTCCTAAGACCGCCCATAGAGAGCTCTGCTCGTTCACGGCTAGTGTGTACTCTTTTTATTTTCGCGCAGATTTCTTCAAGGTCACAATTCTAACACATTGAAATAGACAGTACATAGGTAGCCCTACCCACATAAAAAAAGGCTTCGAATAGTCCAAAATGTTCTAGAACATACCACAACATTCGAGTGTATTCTGAAGCGTTTCACAATGATCAGGGACATTCCAGAGTATTCTCAAACATTGTACAACATTCCAGAATGTTCCGGGATGTCCCCGAACGTTGGAAGCCACGACAGATTACATACCCCTACCATAGACAGCTCCAGCCATACAAAAAAAGCTTCGAATGGTCCACAGAATATTCCACAACATTCGAGAGTGTTCTCTTCTCGAATTTTCAAGAATGATTTAGGATGTTCACGAACATTCCACAACATTCCAGAACATTTTAGAATGTTGTGAAATGATCTCGAATGCCGTCGAATATACTAAAAATTGCTAAAGGGCGAAAATTCCCTTCCTTATATCTTCAAAAGTACGCTCTTTAGGTGAAAACGGGAACCTTCTTCATATACGGGAGATAGAGTGTTAGCACACCATATTAGGTACTCTCTTTATCGTGCCGAAACCCTTTTCTGAGTTTTACCGGTACGCACATTGTACACTTTCTTTTATAATACATATTGATTACGGAAAAAACAGTAAGAGAATCGGTTCTTTACTTACCTGATTGTATCCCTCTCATTGCTGGATGGTCCTCGGCTGAACTGTCTGGTGTACCTTCCATGGCATCCCCGTCAAGACTATCATCTAGCGGGCAGTCGAGCGATAAATTTTGATTGATAGCAATGCCATCATTACATTTGTTATTGTTGTTTCTTTGACTTGATAATACCTGCATCTCCCACATTTGCTCCTGGCGAATGTCGTCGTTGTAGTCCTGGAATGACGAATGCTTCAGTAATACAAATTAAAAATGGAGAAAAGGTTGTCAATATAAAATAATAATTTATTTGCTAGAAATGCTTTTTGAGCTTCAGTTTTTACAATTTTTGCATTTAAAGTTATATTTGTGACTAACAATTTAGTCTTCACATTCTCGTTCTATTCCAGAGATTTCTGGAACACAATCACGATCTGTTGTAGTAAATTCTTCATGTTGTTTTGTTTTTTGTTTAATAAGTGTCGTTTATTTTGTAGGGTGTTGGCACATACCTCCTTGAAACAACGATCGGTTTAACATCAGACTCCGTGTAAGTAATCTATATATTATTTTTTGGTGAATTCCTTTCAACTGAATTAATTATTTCGTTGGTAAAGCCACGAGTGGATGTGAATGGTGCGGATTGAACGTTGTAGGATCGTTAATGACGTAATCGGTCGGGCCCGCTTTGTATTATAAATTACGTTAATTACTGTTGGCTTTTTGGGGTAGTTACGAATACGATTTGATTGGATTGTATTCTCTGGTTTGGTTAAATTATGAGCAGTCGGTTACAAATGGATGATCGTGATGTGGCGGCCCGGCTTGCCCAGCCTCCTGCTGGATTAGTACACCATGCACACAGCGGTAATTAAGCTGATAGAGGCCAAATTATTCTTTTGATCGACTGGTTTTGTTACGTTGTCGTTATATGGGTAACTACCATCGTATGAGCGAAACATTACTACACTGCTCGTCCATTTTGGCTAAATAATTTTTCATATTGGATTAGATATATCTAACTAATCATCATAAGATCGTTAGTCCTAAGACTGCACCTCCACTCATTCCTATCCTGAGCCAATTTCCGCATTTCCCTAAAACTAGAACAACTTACATTCTTAACTATTTACGAATCTAGGCCTACCTCTACCCCTCCTAACTCCTNTGCTTCTTGTAGGGCACGTATTTTCAATAGAAATAAAAAAATAAAAAATAGCCTTCGACAGACTTTAGAACAAAGCTTTATCTATGTTGCTACAAAATTTCAAATCTCTATTCCAAATATTAAACTCATGATATCTAAAACCGATAAGCATGACTCTACGGCGCGTGTACTATTTAATCCCCTCATAATTGTTAATGCTTGGAGCGATCAATCTCTCTGGACTACTGTGGACGGTAAAGAGGATAGCTTTCTTTTAAACTTGGACAAGGGAAGACGGACCCGAAATCGATCCAATCCAATATTATTCCAAATGCTAACGTTTGGTCTAAACCTCCCTGTCATGCAGCTTTGTATCACAGGGATGCTTCTTTTACCTATATATACCTTTTTGAAGTAAAAATTTCTTATGAAAGAGCGGAAAATTGTGCAGTGAATATTGA